ATGGTCGGGATCTCGGGGGGTAGCTGATTCCAAAGAGTGGGAGCAGCCACCGAGAAGGCCCTCCTCCGGGGGCCCGCCAGCCGACACTGTCTGGCTGACGGCATCTGAAGGAGGCCCAATCTGTGGGATCTTACTGTTGCAATTCAAGAAGCCTCTTTCTGCCAAGCTGCTGGGCCAGGCCTGTAGCTCTGGGGCTGAAAGAACCCCTAAACCACAGTGCAAAGCCTAACACCAGCCCTGTCCAGCAACGTGGTATAAAGAAGCTTCTTGGCACACCACAGGTCTGGTATACTAAGAAGCCCCTAAGCATCATGCTGCTGAGCTAGGTCTCAACTCTGGGTTGCAAGAAGCTCTGAGCAACATAGTGCAAAACCTTTCACACAAAAAGCTCAGCTTCATCCGAAGCACAAAGGGGCTTCTGGTGTGCCATGGCTCTGGGGCTGTAAGAAGCCTGGGTACAAGTCCAGCCCTAGCCGGGCCCACTACTGGCCACCCTGAGAAGCCACAGCTGCAGTTGTTCTGGCCACCTTGCATTCCATGGCTCCTGCTACCCTGCACTCTGCTGCCCCCACTTGACCTTTCTCCAGCGGCTGATGAGGCGTTCCAAGCCTGGTCCCCAGCAGCTGTTGACCGCGTGAGGCCATTTTCCACAATTCTCACAAGGAAGCCGTGCACAACCTGGGGAAAAAAGTCTCATGTGTTCAGCAGCTGCCTTGCAAAGGGTCAGACTGGCATGCTTGGTCAGCTATGGAAGAAAGATGGTGAAGGTCAGCTAGGGCTGCAGAGGCTGCATAATGCAGAGAACCAAAAGGACATAGATGGGGTGGGGTGAAAAGATAAGTGGCTGAAGGGAATTGAAGCAATCCTGCAGGCGTTTAATTGTGGGCAAGCTGCCAAATGTCTGAATTTGGATGACATGACAGCAGGGGCATTGCCACAGCTGTAAGTTTGGGGACCAGTCTTAAGCCTCTTCATTCAGCACGGACATATTTGTGAATGGTCCCTGAATGAAGGGTCATAAATCAAGAACTAACTGTATTCAAGCAGGTATGCAATACAGGTAAAATATACAAAGTTACTGCATTATCATATTAATTAATTTGTTGAACTTCATTAACTGAATATTACTAATTTAAAATAAAAGGGTGACGGTAAAGGTAAAGGTTTCCCAGCCAGTCGTATCACTCTAGAACACAATGCCAAGGGAGCCAGCATTGCCTAAAGACATTTTCTGTGGTATTTTACCAGCATGTCTACACACCAAAGGCGCACGTAACACTGTTACCTTCCCACCTAAGTGGTACCTACTAATCTACTCACATTTGCATACTTTTAAACTACTCGGTGGGAAGAAACTGGGGCAGGACGGGAGTTCATTCTGTTGCACAGTGCTCGGGTCTCTAATCTGAGTTATCAGCTTTGCAGCTGACAAGCTCAGCGCCTCTAACCACTAATATACAAAACAACTTGTATTCAAACTGGTTCAATTATTTTTGGAGAGTTTTAATTATCAAACAACAACATAGTGTACTGTTTCAAGCTTAAAACACTCCCAAAGGAATTGAAATAACCATTTTGCAACCGAAATGGCACATTTCAAATTGGAGACAATTTAGACTCAAAACATACTGTACATTCATATATACAAGATACACTTTCTATGTTATGTGAAAAAACAGAAATGGATGAACAACTAAACTCTCTTTCTGCTTTATGCCCGACTATCTAGAGATGTGACATTGGGCATAGTTTAATAATATATCTTTTTTAATATTCAATCCATGAAGCCACGTTTGCATTTTAAAGTGAAATTTTATCCAACCATAGTTTTTACCTATTGAAAACATACTTAGACCATGTGTGGAATGATCATTAGTACCCTTAACTACAAGCCCAGTTAAAACACAGAACAAGAGAAAGATCTCATTAAAAACCAATACTGACAAAAGACCAATATATTATCAGCTATAAGGTGGCATAAAATTTTATTTAAGCTGCTATCTGCCTGGTAAATACTACTGCCTTCTTTATATTCCACTTCTAGAATAAACCTCTTTAAGACACTTTATCAAAATACAATCCATGCTAAACCATCTAATAAACAAGCATATCAAGCCAATAATTAAAAATAAGTAAAAAAATACCATTTTACATTGATAAAAAACAATAAAAACCTATTAGGAGATACTGTAAAAATGCCCTTAAGGAATGCCAAGAACAAGGTTAAGTCAACAGTCTAGTCATTTATGAAATAAATGAATAAACTCAATTGCTAACAAGAATTTTAAGGTCTGATAATAAAGTAAAGAGCAAGCCCTCCCTTTCCCCTTTTTCTAAACAACAACAACAACAACAACAACAACAACAACAAAATCCTATGATAAAAATGAATACTAAAGGAAAAGGCAAGGCACATCATCAGAGCTATCTTCTGTGCTGCTGATGTTTTAGAAGGAAGACAAAATTAAAATGAGATTTTTCATTACACCAGTCTATGTAGACTATGTAAGGATTTGTGTCTCAGATCTGGTCAAAAGCTGGTAATTTTTGTCTAGTATCAGGGTTTCAATCAAGATGACTTCAAAATTTATAAACAGCGGTTTAGTGCAGAAATATAATCAAAGTCAGCACTATTAATAAAAAATAAAAGCAGCATATAATATTGTTATACTCTTCTACACAGAAAGCTTCATTGCAGAATTGTGATTCTAAAGAACCTGTTTTTGAAATATATGGTAGCTTGAAGAAGAAAGGAAACATGAAATGATACTGTGTTTCCCCGAAAATAAGGCAAGGTCTTATTTTCTTTTGATCCCTGGAATAAGCGCTTTCCTTTATTTTCAGGGAAGTCTTATTATTTTTGAGGTGCAGGAGGTGGCGAGCATGGTGACCTCATGGCTGTTGCTGTATTGCAAGGGCTTATTTTCAGGGAAACAGGGTATCTATATCTGAAATTAATTTTAAAACAAAAAAAGCCTTTGTAAATTCCCTATCGCTTCAGCCAATATAATTTTTAAAAGTCTATTTGTATTATTTCCCTTTCCCTTTTATGAACCAACACCAACAGAAGTCTTTTTACAAGCAATATAAATAAAAAGAAATAAAGCTGCTTGTTTTCTTACGTGAAATCCCAATATATTATACAGATTATTTTTTAAATAAAAATTGAGCATACTGTACAGCAAAATTCCATCTATTAATTCCACTAATTTTAGATCTATTTCCTTTCATGCAGCTGTTTTATTCTGACATAGTGTATATTGTGCTGGAAAGCAGCCAATTCCTCAACCTTCTGGAGAAAGTTCAGGCAATGAAAAAGAGGTAAAGATGAAAAATGGTTGTTTGAACAGCCTTCCATTTTAAAAATTCAGACTCAATTAAATATGTCTATTCAGAAAACTAGTTTGGTATAATGTTTAAGGCACCATTGTAGAAACTGGGAGTCTTTTGAGTTCTAGTCCCATTTAGGCATGAAGCTAACTCAATAACCTTGGGGCCAGTCACTCTTACTTAGCATTGGAAAGAAGCAATGGCAGGACACTTCTGAACATTGCCAAGAGAATTGCAGAGACTTGTGCAGATAGTCACCAGGAGTCAAAAATGGACTTGAAGGCACAATCACATTTGGAATAGTAGCTTAATGGATAAAACTATTCTTTGAATTGGCCAATACTTAAAAATGCTGTAAATGCCAAACATCTACAAAATTAACTGTGTATAAAATTTTATGTATTGTAAATACTTGTTCATTGTAAAAACTGTTGCCTCTAAGAGGATTAAATAACCATGTATGTTCTGAATTATACAAATATCAAACTTTCAATTTAAAAAAAATTACACATACAAGTATAATCCTAACGTTATTTTACAATGTTTGTATATTGAATTATGCGAAACTGGTAAAACCTCTCATAGCTAATATAAGTTAATATAAAGATTCTATCTGGCAAAACAAATATAATTGCCCTGCTTCACCTATTTTCCTCAAAAATCTTATTTTCTCTACATTATTTTTCTTACACAGACACACATGCAGGCTTTTATCTATTTGTTTTTTCTTTAAAACTAGTTTGACGTTCTGTACAAAAAGTGTTATTTTAGGCAATAAATCATTGTTTCTTTAGCTTGTGAATTTAATTCATTACATTTAAAACTGTATTGGCATAAATTATAAAAAGGTTCTGTCAAATTAAATTAATTACAATGTATAATGTAGTTTATATCAATTATATGGCACTTGTTCAACATATTATTTGATCCAAACTGGATGATTCCACATACATATACATACATATTACTTTAAATACAAATACCAAAATTAAAAATTAAAAGACCAAGCCAGTACTAAAAATACATTTATTTATACAGGAAACAGGTATGGGACTGAGTCTTTAAATAATCTGCATCTAACCTGTTTCTGAATCTTCACTGTCGGAGGAGCTGGACTCACTGGTGCTCTCAGACTCTGAAGAGGAGAATCCCTTCATTTTAGAGGAACCAGCAATTACATCCACTTTCTCTGCTGCAACAAGGTAATAGCATTGTCATTGGATCAGACAATAATCCAGAATCTATTCTTGTGCCGCGAAATATTCCTATTAAATATCAGACGTTTCAGTATCTGTTCATACAGTGGGACTTTATCTTGTTTATCTCCCCCTACCCCTGCTTTAGAAAATAAGGGAACAGGAGTTTGAAATTTTCAAATAATGTAGCATTTTCATGCTCTTACTATTTTGAAATCTGGCTCACCCAGTTCTGGTCATCAACTGATCGCACAAGTCATTAAATGGAGAATTAGGGTGAGGACCCTCTGCCCTGGTATGCCTGGGAAGTCCTCTCCCCATCCCGCCCAGGACTGTCCCCCCTCACCATACCCAGGTCCACTTACCTTCGATCTTTTCTGCAGCAGGCTTCATTCCCGCTATTGCTGGAAGGTTTCTCCTCCAAACTACACAGTTTGGAGAAGGGGCTTCCAAAGTATTACAGGGAAAGATTAGAAAAATATTTCATCTTTAGAACAATGGCGTTTGCTAGTTTTCCAGCACTCTTCCATGTGCAGAAGAGGACCCTTCTGCCAAGCTGCAGAAATGGATGCTCAGATCTTTAAGATCCGAGCACCATTTCTGCAGCTCAGCAGAGGGGCTGTGCAAATCACCGTGCGTGGAAAGGAACTCCTCTGCCAGGCTGCTGAAATGGGATCAGATCTTCAAATTCTGAGCAATGTTTCCAAACTAGCAGAGGGAGTGAACTCCATTTGGCAGGCAGTACTTTCCAGTCATCCTCCAAGAGACTAGTTGTCTCAGCAGGTGATGGTAACTTGCAATATTCCCTGCTGGTTTCCCATTGACTTTCTGGAGAAGACAGGAGAGAAGATTGCAAATGATAATCACCTGATTGCAGGGCACTTGGCAACCTGTCATAAATGTGAACAGGTTGCGAAGCACCCAGAGTTCAGTCATGTGATCATGTGAGGGTGCACATCTTACAATAGCCAGAAGTGCTTTACGGATCATAAAGCGACCTTTCTGAGGCCGTTGTAACAACAACCTGTTATATGTTGAAAACTACTGTTTACTGTTCTGGAATAAAAATAATGTATTAATTGCTGGAAAGAGTACAATTTCAAAATGACTGACTCTTGCATAAAGTTTAGCATGCTCCAATATTAGTATATTTTCTATCTCTGCACCATAGAAAGTGATTTAGTACATACGTCTGGTATTTGAAACAACTATTCTGAACTTGAAAAATACCTTGAGGTTTCCTTTTTTTCCGTAAACAAGATGTTACATATCGCTCCAGCTCCCGCAAAGTGGATGCCTTTAACGTTTCAAAGTCAATTTCAATCTCATCAGGATTGGAGTTTTTGAGCGAGGGTTCTCTTGATTGGATGATATGGACAACCCGGCCTAATTTTTCACCAGGGAGCTTGTTAATGTCCAGGCTCAATTGTCTTTTTTCTTCATAAGACATTGGCTTACATTTCTCCTCCTCCTCAGACTCATAAACTGGAGGCGGCTTGGTATTCTTCACAGTCACAGGCTCCTTCTTATTACTTTAAAGAACAATTATAATACATTATTATATGGAACAAAATGATTCCCTAGTTTCATACAAAGATGTTATTCTAGAATGTATTTAAATTTATTAGCATGATGTTCAACATTTGCAGAGCCACGGTAATGTCTATTTCAATGAGCTATAGCTTAAAAATCCAAAGTTTAATTTTCAAAAATTATTAGGTAGCCCTTCATAAGCAATTATAACAGCAATGCAAATCATATAGAAGGCAATCCATATTTAATTATCTTCTGAGCATTGATACAGATATACTTAAGAGGATCAGAAAAGACTTTGAAGTAGCTGAACTGAAGTTGTAAGGATTGTGCTCGCTTTTATATTTCAAACTGCAGATTCAGAAGGTTCTTTTTTGAAATTCCTGTATAAATGACTAGGCTGAGCCCAAGGGCAGGGTCAAATGACTAATCAAGGCAAATTGGCGTTACATAAAAGCCAACTGAATTCAAGCAGTGGGGACACAATGAACTTTGGGTCTCTTGTGGAAACATAGTGACTCCAAACTGATGGAATTTCCTGACAGTGATAACAATTAATCAGGGGAACAACTTGTCTTCAGACATTCTGGGTTCTCCAACACTGGATGTTCATAAGAAGAGCTGGGACAAATATCTGAGATGGTATAGGCCAAGTCTCCTGCTTCAGCAGAGGGTTGGACTAGAAAACCTCTAAGGTCCCTTCCAACTCTGTTATTCTGTTATTAAATTTGACCCTGCCCTTTAGCTCAGTATGGTCATCTCCTACAATTTCCTTCTAAAACCCTCTGGCAACTCTACCTATTTAACAGACATACAATTTAAAAATACTGGTTTCATCTACACAGCTTTGGTGAGATGCTACAGCACCTTTAAATGTAAAATCTTTAATATGACTTCCATTTTCTAGAAGCACAAAAAGTGAATAGAGCTACCTGAATTAAAACAGAATTCCTGTTTCTTATGCAATACCCTGCATTTTGTATACATTATTATACTTTAAATTTGTTTGTAAAGCCAATGTAAAACCTGCTTTTTGTGTTGTGATGTTCTAAGCACTGAATTAGGAGGTGGATGGCTGGATAGAAAGGAATAACCACAATAATTTTCCTGCATATATTTCTATTTCTTAAACAGGCAGAAGAATATTCCCTATTTATAGAGAATCCCCTAACAGGGTAACCCCATCCAATAGAGTTTGTCCCTTGAACCTCTTTAAAATGAATGAAACATTCATGGATAAACCTTCCAGACTACAACTTTTAGAAAGTGGTGTTGCTGAGGTAAAACTAACACTGAGATTGTAATTCCCAAAGGTATGCAATAGACCAGTGATGGCTAACCTTTTTTGGATCCAGTGCAGAGGGACGTCTTGCACGGGCATGCCCACACTCATAATGCTGTGGGTGTGACCCACCACGTATGTGTGCTCGACCCAGCGCACATGCACGCTTGACCAGCACCCCCCCCCCCTGCTTTCGGTGCAGTTTTTTCACCCTCCCAAGGCTCCAGAGGCTTTCTAGGAGCCAGGGGAGGGCGAAAACAGCCTCTTCCACCCCCCTGGAGGCTTCAGGAACTTTCCTGAAGTCTCTGGAGGGCGAAAAACAGCCCTATGGGCAACCTGGAAGTTTGGGAACTGTGACTTTCAGTTTATCTGTAGGGCTGTTTTTTGCCAAAACGTCCCTAAGGACAAATCGGAAGTCTGTTCCTGAATTTCCGGTTTGCCCGTAGGACCGATTTTGCCTGTACAGCCTTAAAAGATGGCCAAAATCAGCTGGGCAGCGCGCGCATGCATGCTGGAGCTGACAGGACAACACCTCCTGTGCCCTAACAAATGGCTCCACGTGGCACATGTGACACGCGTGCCATAGGATCGCCATCAAGGCAATAGACAATCTTTATTCTGAGAATGTTTTGAAGAATGGACTGCAAATTGTAAGACAACAAAAATGTAGTGAGAAAAGCCTCCTATGACTGTAATTTTGCTTCTTGATTGGGGTGGTCCCAGTTTTTTTTAAACCTAACAGGTTCTGAGGCCTACAGGAATTTGGGGGGGGGGGGGAAGTGTTCTAGAATAATTAAAGGACTGCTTGAAATTGGACTCTCTGAGAACAGAAGAACGGAGTACAGCCAGAATCAATTTATATAACAAATAAATTACCCAATTATATTACAAATAAATTGCAAAAATGGAGCTGCTGAAATGGTTTCTTTAAAATGTTGTCCTGTATGTGCCTCTTTCAGATGCTATTCACTATTGTACTACATTGAATTGACTTAGGGATAGAAACCTTAACTATCTCTCAAAAAGTGGAAACAGAACTTCTACCTGAAGTGAGGCAATGGGCACTATCCAGATAGCTTTAAAGGAAGTCCCATCATTCACAAAGAAAGACTGGTTATTTTAAACTATATTCTAATTCTTAAGAAATTAAAATAGTTTACCAGTTTTGGAAATTTCAATACTATAAGCAAAGAATATTCAATTCCAGAGAGAACACTACTGTAGAATTAGACCTTTAATATTATAGAACACATCTGCTAAAACCAAAACTGTACTTACACTTCAGTTAGCTGAAAACCAAGAAAGCATACAGTATATAATTTGGGAATCTTAAAGGTCAAATACATGGCAACATCCTGATTTAAATTACACTGTTTCTAACCATATAATAATTACCCTTATTATATGGTTAGAAACAGTTGTATGCAAAATGTTCAAACTTGTAATGTCCTGCATTCAAAAATCTAGGTTTTAATAGCAGTTCTGATTTGACCAAAGATACCAATATTCCAGGAGTGATCCAAATTGGAAACATTTGCTAAGGTCAGAATAACTGGTTTGTAAGTGTTTTAAGCCTGAAAATTTTTGCACACTTTGTTTAAAATTATGTAACTTCTACCAGGAATTTAGATAGATAAAATATAGAAGTTCTATATTTCTACACAAAAAAGGCCTCATACTACACATAAAACTGTAAAAAAAAACACCACCCTACAGATTAGCATATACATGGATATAAAGAGGGAACTGACCTTGAGCTATTGCTATTGCCATTATTCTTCTTAACCTTCTTAGTTGGTGGGTCCTTGGCTTTATTTTTTTTATTTTCTTCTACTTCTTCTTTCTTTTTGTGCTTCTCTTTTTTCTTTTCTTTCTTGTCTTTCTCTTTTTTCTTTGGTTTATTCTGTTGTGGCTGTGACAGGGCAGCCAACTGTTCATGCACTGCTTTAAGCTAAGGAGCAGACACACAGATCAATACAATTTTGTTTTTTTTAAAAAAATATTGTTTTACCCCCTGTCCTATGATGTGATGACCCCACACTCACTTTGGTGTGCAACTAATTGTTTTTCCCCAAACACCTGAGCTATATGTTCCTTAGTGCTGTGCATGCTTCAAAATGATCTGCAGTTGATTTGGACCCACACCAAGCAGCAAAAGTGTTTCCAGTTTCTATGCAAGCCTACAAAATTTCCCCACCTTCAAGTGTTACACAAATTTCAATATGTCCATACTTTTAAAGCAGTGCTGTTTTTTCCAGTCAAAAACCTGAAAAATGGCCTGCTTTAAATGAAACAGGTGCTGTGTTCATATAAGACCAAAGGTCTTTTTTCCAAAACATTTTCCAAGAATGCACACCTCCGTGTGTGCGTGTGCATACATACAGACATGTGAGAGAAAGAAGAAAAAGTGCAAAACAGCACAGATGAGCAGGAATATATTCAAACAGCTATCAATAATGCTGCTTAATTATCAAACGGCAGTAATTTGCTGTCCTTTCCTAAGACTGGAAGCAACAGAGTCAAGCTTCTATGATAGATTGGAAGGCAGAAATTGTATTGCTGCCAAGAAAACGAAATATACATATCCGTATTATCACTAGTGACTTCAGCTTGGCTTAAGGGCATCTTTATCTTTTTCTGAGTGGGTTATGATACTGAAAGTTTTCCTTAGCATTGTTAAATGTTGAAAGGAGAGCTTAGTGGCTACTATGTCCCCAGCACAGGCAATAAAGAAGCTTCTGCTAGTCTAATACTATCTGGTGAGCTTCTGTCTTGGAATTTCTCCCCTTACCCAATCAAGATAGGATAGATAAAAAAAGACTCAGGCACAGGCTCAACCAACTCCTCTTGTTATTCATGTATGTAGTGAAATATTAAAAACTGGAAGATGTGGGCTAGAACAGGGGTCACCAGCCCCTGGTCCGTGGACCGGCACTGGTCCGCATCATGTCAGAAACTGGGCCGCACAAACAAGCGAAGCCCCTTCTGCAGGATGTCGACAGCACAAAAAACTATGTCCCTCTCCCAGCTCCATGGGAAAACCTCTCTCCATGGAACCATCCCTGGTGCCCAAAAGGTTGGGGGCCACTGGGCTAGAACTGTACATGTGTACTGAGTATGGAGGAAACCAAGCAAAACCTGATTCCCATCTAAAAACTAGAATTAAGAAAGTAACTGTAGAAAAGAGGATACAGTCAGAATCAAAAGCAGGATACACAAACGTTTTACCTGTTCCTGGAGCTCTGCTAGCCGCTGAGCTCGTTCTTCTTCAGAATCATCTGATGAACTGTCACTATCAGAAGAACTATCACTGCTGCTGTCACTGGATGATGGTGGGGGCACTTTGGGTTGTGGCTGCACTACTACTGGAGAGGAAGCTGGAATCACAGGTTCTTCAGGTTCATCTGGCATTTTAGCAAACCGCATTTCAAAGACATCCTGGCAAAATACAGTGGGCATATAAATGCTATGCTTGTAAAAACATATCCCAGCATTATTCTGAAGAAGTCTTCTTGTGGTACACACCAAAATATTGGTATCTTCAAACAGAATTAATTCATAAAAATACTCTGATTTGTTCTTATCCTGAATATCCCCTTTCCTGGAGTTTATCAACCTAGACACTTTCTGATCAAAATCAACTTAATCTTGAGGTCCCGTTATATGTAAGAATAGGTGAAAGGTGTTATCCTATTCATTTGGCCATGGCGGAATGCAAGATGCATGATCAGCAACATAATAACATAATTGCAGGTGGGATTTCAAGGATTCCAGAAGTGTTGTTTGGATATTAAACAGGCTTATTAATGCTGACACAAGTTTAATTTTTTCATGACTATTCCTATTAAAAAATTAGGCCAAAGTATATGAGTGTTTTGCTCCTACATTTCATTTGTGTTTGAGGGGAATCAGTAAACATCAAAATAAGGTACAAAGGCCTTTACCCGATATTTGGGATACATATTTTAAAGATTGAGTAACGAATTGAAACCCCCCCAAATATAAAACATTTATAAGTTACTCTGAAAATTACTCTATGACTTATTAAAAATCATACATTTATGCATTTAAAGTGGGACATGGTTTTAAATAAATTTTAAGTTACCTGTAGTTTCCGTGCCATGGCCACTACCTCATGATCTGGAGGGTTATATTTGTAACAATTGGAAAACATCAATCGGACATCAGCTGAAAATTCCTGAGCATCTCTATAATCCCGGTTCTCCAATTTCGACTGAAGATTAAACAAAGAACTTTAATTATAAATAAATTTTAGATCATTTTAAAATACCATGGGTATTGTTTCCTATAAATAGAGCAAAATATTTTGGCATTTCAGAGATAAGATTATCAATTCTCTATAGAAATACTCTCCATGTTTTCTGAATGTATATAAAAATAACATTACTTTCAAACCAAATAATATTTAAAAAATGACAGGGTATCTCATTTGTTGATAATCCTGTTGGTTTTCTGTTTTAGTTTGTATATTCCATAAGATTACAAAGAAACAGAAGTATCTACCCATGGAAATTAGCTCCACTTTTCAAATTGCTTTATTTTATAAGAACAGAATGTGAACAATAAACTAATATAAAATATATATTTGAAACGAGAAACATTGCTTTAACAATAATTCTAACACAGAACGTTACAATTTGTGCAACTGCTTTCTTAACAGTTGATCCCTGATTTACCACTATTGTCTCAAAACTTTAGGTACATGACTAATTATTTACTAAATAATTCTAAAGTGTTTTTGATGAGAAATAATGTCTAGAAACTATATTTACCCAATTTGGGATAATTTACTCAGGTTTGGGAAACACTGCTATAAGGATAAAAGAGAATCCCTGCGAGGAAATGACTGTTAATACTTCCGCAAAAGAAAGAATAAAATACTCTGCAAATATATTGTCAAACTTGTATGTTAGATTTCTACCATCTGTCAATGTTTTAAATCTGCCTAAAAGGGTTTCTGTTTTATATTATCCTCTATAAATTAAATCAAATCAAATCAAATTAGAAGTACAACTAAAGCCATCCTATTGTATAAGGCAAGGAAGACGCAGAAAAGACAGAGTAAGCATTGCCACAGATATTGATACTCTGTTTCAGGCTTGCACAATTCAGAGGGGAAAGGCCCATATTAATAATTAAAAACAATTGCCATAAAAACTGCACACAGATCAGCTGTTTGGCAGCTAGCAGCTTGGCAACAGTGATGGAGCTGACAGTGTCAATGAGGTTTGGAGGCTCTCAACCATACAACTTCAGGACCACAAGTGTTCCTTCCTGGCAGTGGCAACATTTGGCAGAAGTAGATCTATGGTGGGCCACAGAGAAGGCTACTTTTCAGAGTGTAAGAGATCCATGGATGTTGTGTAGACTTGCTCTATTTGGTGCTGTAACAGAGTAGATCCAAAGATTTATTTCCAAAAGGAAACTGGACTTTGATTTTTTTTTTCTTTGAAAACATTTCTTCAATGAACTGAAGAAACTTCCTCAAATGAAGTAAAGAAGCTTCTTGGATGAGAAATGAAATATTTTCAAAGAAAAAACCAAAAAAGTCTAATTGTCTTGAAAAAAGGACCTTTGGGACAACCATATTTTTAACATATGTATTTATTACGAGAGTTAAAAAAAATACACCCACACTTACTTTAATTGTACTCAGGTCCATGGGATGCTTAATGATCTCACGATAATCATGAAGTCCAAGAGCGTCCACATCCACAGGTTTGTAGAAGGGCCACGCATATGCAGCATGTTTCTTAGCAAACATCTCCTTTATGATGCCACCACAATACTTTAATTGCTCTGACACTTTGCTACTGTTACTTTTTTCTATTACATGTTGCTGAGAATCCGGAACATCCTTCTTTGGAGGTTTCACAGGTCGGCTTTCCCTTCGTGGACCTGTCTTGACAGACTTGGGTTCAGCTGGCAATGATGATGATTCATGAACTGGGTCTATTGTAGTAGGAGTTGTAGTGTCTGCTTTCCTCTTCACTCCCTTTTTTGTCTACCAAAGCAAACAGACATTCTATGTAGCCTTCTGTTCTTTATTTGCCACAATGTATACGTGTACATGAGGTTATGATTCCTTGACATAGGAATATGTTATTATCTATATTTTTAATTGTTGATTACTTTTGTTATCTTAACCTTGTTTATGCATGGTGGGAATGTAAGCCGCATGGAATCAGTTGACAATTGTAGCGGCATATAAGCCTATTAAAATAAATAAAATAAATGAATGTACCATGGAATTCTCATAACTAAGCAAACACTCCATATATATGAAAATAACCAGACATCACGTATAAGTATCTAAAACACTATATAAGGAACAGAAAACAATCAGAAAATCTGGCATGGAATTTGTAGTGAAGCTGAATTTGATGAAAAATCTGAGTCATGATTTCACTTAATAGTTTAATAAATTCAGAATATTTGCAATTTTTTTTGCTGCTATTACTTTTGTATTATTGTTGGTTGTGTTATTATTTCAGGGATGATGATGATAATGATTATTATTATTATTATGCATCTCAATGAATAGAAGGATTCCTTCCCCTGGTAAAGAAAGCAAAGACCAATAGGAAATCTTGCTGAGGGAAGAACTTGGAATAGTTACCGTATTTTTCAGAGCATAAGACGCATCAAGATTTTGAAGAGGCAAATTAAAAAAAAAAGTTTTTGCACTTTGCAGACCTCACGAAAGCGGGCCCATTTTTGGGGGGTTTTTTGGTCAAAAAAGGGCATGTATAGCCTTTAGGAGGCTTGTAAAGTGCTCCTGGGGACTGGGGGCAAAAACCAATCTGTTTTTCGTTCATTTTTGCCCTCCCCAGCCCCCAGGAGCACTCTGGAAGCCTCCTAAAGGGTATCCACGGCCATTTGGGTGAAGGGGCGGGGTTTCAGACCAAAAATGCTGTGTTCGGTGTATAAGACGCACCCAGATTTTCAGCCTCTTTTTTTGAAGGAAAAAGGTATGTCTTATACTCCGAAAAATACGGTATTTCTGTCAATTCTTTTTATAGCCTTTCTCAGACATTATTTCACGATTCAAAGTAGATTTTCCACAGATTTTCCATATTCCACAGAAGACAAATAATTTAAAATAGGAGTGGAATTCCAAAATTGAAATGTTTTACATATCTATTATATCAATGCTATATGTCTTTATTTCAAGCAGGTTAAAATTGGATGTTTGCAATGACTCTCTCAACAAAAATGTAATATAGAAAAACTTCAGATTTAAGAATAAAGGGTATTTTAACTTCAGCCAAATAAATTTGGTGATCCTTACATCCTATACATTTAAATGTTCATACCCTAATAAGGAACACATTATTCAGCCATATAATTCAATTTTATCTACCATGTCTCCCTGAAAATAAGACAGGGTCTCATTTCCTTTACCTCCCCCCAATAAGCGCTTGGCCTTAGTTTCGGGGAGGTCTTATTATCTTTGAGGTGGAGGATGCGGCAAGTGTGGTCACCTCATGACTGCTGCTGTGTTGCAATATTCTCAGGGAGGGCTTATTTTGGGGGAGAGCTTATTTTAGCGCATGCGCTCAATAGTCCGATTGGGTTTATTATCCAGGGAGGTCTTATTTTCAGGGAAACAGCAACTATACATAATTTCAACACTTTTTCTTATCTACCTAGAAGTTATAACAGTGAATATCTTATAATTTTATAAGCTAGGATCTCTTGTCCAAGGGTTTCTGCAATAATAATTAATCTTAATAAACCCCTGGTGTTAAGAGTCCCTAAAATAATAAATGTCTTGCTGAGTTAACGTTTTCATTTAAGATTTTCTTTGAGCAACATTTAAAAATTGAATTTCTTGACAGCATACAAACTGTGCTAGTTATTGGGAGCCCTGCAGAAATAGACCATTGCAGTGTCATAACATATTCCTGCTTCCTAACTTTCAAAAACAGAAGAATAAAAGCTAAGAATTTAATGAAGCAGTCTTAAGGAAAGCTATAAAGTACCTGAGCACCGTTTTGTATAACTTACGGCAAGTTTTTCCCTTAGGTGAACAATTAATAGGAGTTCTAATGTACGCACCTTCATGGGTTGTGCAGATGTTGGGATAATCGGGGTGTGTGTCTGAGAGGGCTGAGGAGCTGAGGCTGAAGGTGGGAGGGGAGGAGGCAGTGCTGCAGGAGGCTGGGGTGGCACCACTGTCATTACTGGTGTCTGAACAATTAGGTCAGGGGCTAGAGAGGGAAAGGAATGAGTTGTTTGCACCGGCTGAGAATTTTGGGGTGGAGCCTGCGTCTGTGGTGGGGATGATGCTTGAGTTGCATTCTGTACCGCTGATGCTCCTGGCTTTGATGTCACTGTAAGAGAGTCAATGTATATCAAGTCTCTAAAAATACAAAAGGACATTTTTTTTCCCATTTCAGACTTTTTCATCTGAGAAATCATATTTGTATTTGAATTACAACACCATTTCTCAATGACTACATACTAATAAACTGTTATTCCATTAGACCATCCATTTGAAAATACGTATTCTTTCTTTTTTCCTTTCTCCATTCTATTTTTGTTAATTATGCCCATTTCCCAACTTTCAAACTAAACTGTCAGGGTAAAGCTTTACTTTCTGGAAATATATACCGTTTCCCTAGATTTAATAATGAGTCAGCTTTCAGGCTGCACTAATCTATGGGTTACTTGAACATGACTTATACAATATAAAATATAATTGGCTGGATTCACATATGCAGAGCAGTAAACTACAGTTTATACTCACAATGCTTGGATTCACGCTACACATTAAATCAAAACCAAACAAATTGTATTACAACTGAGTACAATCTACAAAATTATCTTTTATCTGAAATATTATTTTTCAAGTACAATTACAAACATACATACACATAATAATATTTGCTAGTTCAAACAAAGTACAAAAACTGAAATTACAGAATGCAGCAAATGAAATATCAATACCTGTTTCCTTTCTACCACGTCCTCTCCCTTTTGTTTGGACTACAACGATTTCTGTTTCTTCCTGGGTCATTTCAGAGATTTTTTGTAGGAAGAGTTTTTCTAGAGCTTCTGCCATCAAAACAATATCATCCCCTGGCTGAACAAACATATGTATATAAAAATAATCACACATATTAGGAGTCATCAATCTGAAGACAAACCAGCCATATTTTTGCTATTATATGACATTGTAGAAATATACCATGAAATATAGAGGTTACAATGTAATCTGCATATGATCTTTGTAAGTAACTTAGAACTCACAGTGTGATGCAGTTGTTGCTTAATTCATATGTCCTCTGCATTAAGTGACTAAAGTTTTATTATGTTGCTCTTTTATGCATTGCATCTTACGCTGTATATTATATTTTGATTTTTTCATTTATATGTACTATGTTAGTTCCTCTTTTGTCATTAACAGATAAAAAACTGCAATCATTTTAGCTATCAACCATAGAGGAGGACTATTCAACATACAGCTTTATACATTTACTCTATTTCATGGTTACAATTACTAAAAGAGATATATTTTGTCTGTGACCGAGTGAGAGACAGATACCCCGCACAATTAATTTACTAAGGTTTTTTGTTGTTGTTATCAAATGTAACAGTGTTCTGGATAGAAATTTAGGAGACTTCAAAGCACCTTTTCCCATTATAATCTCTAAGTATGAAAAACTGTGGAGGACAGATTCATGAAAAACTTATGGAAAAAACTTGGATCTGACCCTTTTTTTAAAACTCACAACTCTACAAATTCTTTGTTTCTTGGTTATATGTCACTCTTTCTTTGTATTAATTTTTGCAAGGAGAAAACTATGGTCTTCTGGATGATCATCCCCACTCACAAGGAAAACTGATGCCCCTGACTGATAGCTTTCCTAATGTAATGCTGAAGAACATATCATTTTAAATATAACAAAATAATGATTCAGCAATCACGAAAATTTTCAAACCATTTTCATTCTACTATCAGACTGCAAAATATACATTCATAATTGGCTCTTTCAGGGAAATAGTGTGAAATCAAAATTTGGAGGCATTATTTTCTATTTTTCATCAGTACAGCATATTAATATTATACTCTTGAAAGGTTTATTTAAAATATTTAAGATTTGTATTAAGGAAAACTATTGTTTTAAAAATGCTTACAATAATAAACTACAGTTGTAAAGTAACAGAAGTCATGGCTAGTGAAACTCTTAAACAAAGTAGCATTGATTAAGTGTGGAATTTTTAGGTTTTGTCTAAAGTTTGAATTTTAAAATAAATTATATTTATGTAAACTAAGAAGTGTGTAACCTGTTATCCAGGGTTACATAAGAACCTTTTGTTACATTCATGCATCTGTCATCAATTTCAGACCTCCTCTGGAAGAGTCTGTTTCAAATATCAGGCAAGAACAATCTGTTTCCTTCCTGTAACCTGCTCTCAACAGAGGAGGTACATTCAAGGTTGTTAGACAGAAAAACACAACTTTTCTCATTTCAGTTCAACAGGTCATCCCTTAGACATTATGGCCTTTTGAGTGAGTGAGTGAGAGGGGGGGTGGTGGAAAAAGAAAACTGTCCACATCTGAAATAAATACACCAAGAAAGGAAAGAAGGAAAAGAACAACTAATATACCCAGATTTAAGTCCATTCTTAACCACAAAACTCACTACAAAATTTATTTATTTATTTATTTAAGTGATGATGAGCCAGTCACACACTATTAGTCCAATATAGGTCACATGATTGCTGCTGGAGAAAATGGGGGGGGGGAAGAGGAGCAGCATGCACCAACTTCAGCTCCTTTAATTTAATAAATGTATTTAAAATTTAAATTTAATAAATACATATGTACAAACTAAAAAACTGAAATCTCAAATTGGAAATACATAGATGATATATCATTTGAAAGTCCAATTTATGAGAAAACTAACCTTATTATAGATGTAACAATTTGTAAACATTGTATTGAAGTCCTGGATACATTCTTGAGCATTCCAGTAGTAGTTATTCTCCAAACGTTTCTTTATTGTTCCCATGTCCATAGGAGTTTTAATAATTTTGTAATAATCCTATGGGAAAATAAATATAGCCAATAAAAATTCCTTCAAGCAGCAACATATTTTCAAAAAATAAAATTTAAAACATTTTTCATATCTATTATGAGTTGTTGATGCAAATTATTTCATGACTGAGAAGCAAGCAGCTAGTCCTCAATTTGCAACCATAATTTGAGACCAAAATCTCTGGTCATTGAGTGAAACGGTTGTAACAAATAACAGTGTGACTGCTTCATTCAATAACTGCAATCTCGGCACTCCAACTTGTAGTTGTTAAGTGATCTCCTGTGTTGTTAAAAATGTCAAAGCACAAAAGTTGTATGCTAGAGGAACACGGAAACCCTCAAGCAGGCAGCCTTTTCACTCTCAAAGAGCTTGGCTGAAAAAGATCCATCTCAATATTCAAGCAGGATTTTGGTACACAGTGCTTGCAGCATGGGGTATTTACAACCAGTCTGGAAAGACAAGAGGAAATTCTCTTGTTTATAGATATAGCATGCCATGTAAACAAAACGTGTGTTTAATAATGAAGGTTTATGATATAAATTACATTAATCTAGCCACTGTTGCATTTAACTGGGTGAAGGAAGGATTTAGTGAGTTGTGCAAATTCATTCAATCATCCTGACAATTATTGTAATTGAGGGGGAGTCAATTTTAGTTTAAAAACATTTTTAGCACTGTCTGAAGCTAAACACACAGTCAGCTACATCACATAATCAACCAGTATCAATATAAACCAAAGGAAATCCTTTTGGCAGGTGGCAGCGGCTTCTGACATTCTCTGGTGGTGTCCCTTGGGGAAGATGGAGAGAAGATCACAAATGGAGATCATATTTGTGAAGTGCTTGGAACTTATTGTACCACATTTTCCCGAAAATAAGACCTGCCCTGAAAATAAACCTTAGCCTGATTTTTAAGGCCTACTCAAAAAATAAACCATAGTGAAGATCGTCATCAGCCTGGGGGTGGGGTGTTTGTGGCCAGCACCAGAGGCAGTGAGGGTGCAGAGGCCGACAGAGTCGGGCAAGAGCCACAGCCTGCACTGCACAGCAATGAGTTGATTACCTGTCCAAGCAGCAGACAAAGGCAGAGGTGGGGGGGGGGGGAGGCAGGTGATCCAATGCACCATGCGGGCCACAGGCAAGCCAAGAGATGCGAAGATGAGTCTCCCATGATTGGCTGCCCCCTGCATCCCATCATCTCTTGGTTTGCCTGCTCATTGCAGCCGCAAGCAGCAGTGGGTCGGCAGCCATGTGGGGTTCTGCTGGATAGGGCTGCTGGAGCCACTGCTGCAAGGATGGCTTGGCTGCAGGGCTCTCATATGGGGCAGTGCCACATCCCCATTTTGCAGTAGCAGTACTGGCACGCCGTGTGGCCTCTTGGGTGATTAAGATCACGAGCAAACAGAAGTGGGCCGCCCCATACATGGGGAAAAATAAGGCATCCCTGAAAATAAGCCCTAGTGCTTATTTTGGAGCCACCCAAATATAAGACAGGGTCTTATTTTGGGGAAAACATGGGTGAAGTGTGAATAGGTTGCCAAGGGCTCAGATCACAATCAGGTGATCTTGGGAGATTGCAATGGCTGTAATTTCTGGCACCGCTCTAAATGCCTTCAGTCAGTGTCACTGTAATTGTGAACAATCACTGAACAAATGGTTGTTAGGCAACAACTGCCTCTATCTTGATCATCCGATAGTCCTACTTAGACAAAGTATGGAATCTGTATCTAAAGTGCCATCAAACCAGAATTTTAATTATACTGACTAGACTGGGCGTTGCCAAAAGTTTCAGCTCTTCTCCTAACCAATAGTTGAAAATTGGCTGTTGGCCAATTCTTTTTTATTACTTCTACCTTACTATATCTTTTTTTCTTTGAGTTCACTTAATGCAACTTTACCATAATCAAGTTATAGACAAGTTCTGTAACTTTTAGGTTAGAATACTTCCACAAACAAAACAAAGTAATAAGCAGTATCTCTACTATTTACTCCAGGCAATTATACTCTCAAATACAAATGAAGGCCAAGAAGCTTTAGGCTATGTGTGTATATATGTATATACATAATTTTAATTCACTAATTTAAGAAAGATAAAGAAGCAAAGAAAAGTAAAGAAGGTATCTTTTTCAAAACTTCAAAAACACATAAATGGTCCCTTTTCCAAGTAAAGAGCAGGTAGTCCTTGCTTAGTGATTGCCTGGACTGCAGTTACTATGGTGATGAAGAAGTAACTCTGCAACCAATGTCCTCATTTACAACTTTTTCACCATCTCTTTCGGTCACATGTCAATCATTAATCAATTAATGCGTATTGGCCTGAGTAAGATCATAAGCATAGTTGCAGTCATGATTTTTCACTTAGCAAATGCTTCACTTAACAATTTGTGTTCTTGGCCCCAATTGCAATTGCTAAATAAGGATTACCTGTATTCACATCAAAAACTTTTCATTTGTCTAGAATTGGACAATGACTAAATCAAATGCATTTTCCCTCTGCAGTAAACTTCAGTAAGAACACAGCTTGAGCAGGACAGGGAAAAAGAATGGTCATGTCCAGTCAAGTCATAATAGAAACAGATTTCTAGTTGGAGAATACAAATCACATATGGCTGTTACTATGACTTTAAATACACTTTACACATCTTTCTGTTAAGACAATATTGTCCTTATAATAAATACTTATTTAACACTGTTAATTCAGAGTGTAGAATGATATAACTTCTACTCAAGAAATTATGTATCTAAATTAGACAGACACGGTCGAAGAACTGAGGAATTGCATATCCCTGTACCTATTATGGCAACTAATATAATCTATCTATATTACTATCCTTATTTTACTATAATCCTCTTTTGCTTCATATTCATATTTTTAAAAAGTAGCCCACAGCATGTTTTTGATGGTTTCCAATTTATCAGGGACTCTGAAGAAAAACTAACACATATTTTGCTTTTTCATCCTCATAAAACAGCATATTTATAGTTTGTGGTTGTTATATCTTCCAAAACAAACCCATTCTTTGTTTGCTGTCCACAAATGGTTTTTTTAAAAATTCACTTACGTTTAAATTTCCTTTCCTCATGTTAGGTGTACTTACAGGGAGGTTTAGCTTGACAGCATCCACAGGCTGCTGGAAAGGCCATGAAAACTGATGTTTCCATAGTGTCCTGAGCACCACTTTGAGTAGGTACTGTAGTTGGTTGGTCATGCGCTTGGGTTTACTAGGATTTGAGGTCTCAGGTGGAGATGGGTTAATGGATGAAGGATTGCCTTGTTGGGGTTGGGTCTGTGCCTGTGTTGTAGACATTTGTGTAGCTTCTAGTCCATCCCCCATTACTGACAAATTTCTCAGTCTTGTCCCAGGGCCACTCTCTGAAGACATGCTATCGATCCCATTGCATTCTGTACCAGTCACTCTGCAAAGCAAATTCATAAATTAATTAATTGTATATTCTGCCCAACTCCCAATGATGTTACAAATTATTAATACATTTTAAACAGTGAACAATATAAAAAGCACACAAAATAAACAATGGTAGCAGAGAAAACAAAGGTAGATAGGAATAAAGGAAATATGGCTTTAATCACCTTTGCCTGGGGAAATAAGGGAAAATTGATGAGTGGCTGACAGGTTCTAATACTAAGCAATAATATGGCTGAGTGCAATTTTGAACCAAGGTGAAGTCAATCACTAAATTGAGATTCCCCAAGGATGTTAAGTACTATATCACTTAGAACACGTCACAAAAAATATTAATATAAGAAAAGTGCTCTGGTTTTCAATAAAAAGAAAACCAGAGCAAGCCAATATGCATTCATTTTTCTTCTAAAGAATATGAAGATAGCTGATGGTCCAACACTCATAAAGGTACATTTAAAAGTTAAATCCTGACTGTTTTCTCTAGAATTATTAGTATATCCTTAACTTCATTCTTGCCCTTCCCCCCCCCCCAGTGTCCCTTTCAGAAACATACCGGAACCTAAGATTCTTTTTAATAATTCACCAAACTGAAAATATTATTTTAATAGTAGAATAATAAATATACTTTGGGGGAAAAAAGCAGAGACATCAGTTGTGTTGTGGCTATCCTAAATTCCACATTTATTCATTTTACATCCCTCTAATCCAGTGGTTCTCAACCTTCCAATGCCGCGACCCTTTAATAGTTTCTCATGTTGTGGTGACCCTCAACCATAAAATTATTTTCGTTGCTACTTCAAAACTGTAATTTTGCTACTGTTATGATTCATAATGTAAATATCTGATATGCATGATGTATTTTCATTATTACAAATGGACATAATTAAAGCATAGTGATTAATCACAAAAAGAATATGTAAGTATATATTGTGAAATGGTTTGCTAATGAAAATAATATATATGATATAACCTCTAACCTTGTTACAAAAAGTCCATGAAAATTTCAGTTGGTAATAAAATAAAAATAAAACAGAGCAGACAGACAGTAAAAAAAATGGGTCAAAAAGAAATACAGTACTAGGTTGGATATCCCCTCCTATTTTTCATCTTGTTCTACTGGTTCTTTATGATTTATCAATTGTTGTTTGTAACTAATGATTGTAACTATTATTATGACCTATGACCTATTACTTTCTGTATATATGTACAGTGAGTTGGTGCACTGGGGACAAATTCCTTGTGTGTCTTATCACACTTCACCAAGAAACATTTCTATTACATTCTATTCCTATTTCATTCTATTCTATTCTATCCCATCCTATTCCTATTTCAATTCCCATTCCATTTTCCTATTCCCATTCCATTCCATTTTCCTATTCCCATTCCAT